GTGTCAGTGAGATATCTCAAATGGAAGATTTATGTCCTGCATCATCCATTTCCTCTTTTCTCTCCTGTGAAAGCAGGTTTTTTCCCCCCTAACTTCTTTTTGGATGAATCAGTAGTGGGAATCCAGCCTTTTGGATAGAACAGATAGAGCCCATCATAACTGCAGATGTGGCAGCAGGAGGAAAGGAATGGGGTAAGAATAAGCACTTGAGCAGATTTACATGAGCTTTTGGATCACTTTATCTTGGCTGTACGGAAATGTTCAGGAATCAAATCATTTCGTAACTGCAGATTGAATGAAGTTTGTGTAGCGAGACATTGCTGGGTGTAGCGCGTCGCTGCCTGTTTCAGATGGCCGCTCTCGGGTTAGTACCGCCGTATGGATGCGGAGACTTAGCTCAGCAGGTAAAGACACTTCTTACACAGTGACAAATGAGCAGTTTGGAATGGTGGAAGAATTGGGTGACGGCTGTAGTCTGAGTCCTGGGTTTGCAAACAGACTTCCACGTCATTTGTAACACGAGTAGTGAGACTATTCACATTAGAATTTATCATGGGTATGAAAGCTGTCAGGGTTAATTTCTGACCGATGTTGCAGAGGTTTCCTCTTAGCGTATACTGAGGCATACAGTTGTCACTCAGTAGCCAGGCTTTTACTCATTAGTTGTTCAAGGCTGCAGGTAATGAATCTGCAAACACATCAATCTACGATTTTTTTTTCATGTTCATCCGAGTAAGTTTTAGAGCTGAAGAGAAACTAACATTTTAAAGTGTTTTCTTTTATACTGTTTCTATTGAATGCTGAGTGGAACAGGTATGAACAGAGCTATAAATGCACAGTTTCAATGTAAGATGTTAATAATTGCTCAATGAATTAATTTTTAAGTCACTCTTGCACAATGAGCTGTAGTTTCATACAGGAATTGTTGTGAGGAGAAAGAAATTTCAAGTCATTTAAGGCTTAGTTCATTTAAGCTAAGCCCAAATTAATTTTAAAGGAATTTGCCTTCAGTCATGAGGGTTTATTTAGACCCTGTTGGTTCTAGTTGCATCCACTGGATGGCTTTGCAAACAGTGACATTTAATAGAAGAGAGATGGTAATGATGACAGATAAGTGCCTGCTGTGTAGATGTAGTACTCTGCTCTCCTTCTCAGAAAGTCGTCCCTAACGCAGTCTGAGCTGGTGGACAGCCTGTAGCCTGCGGCAGAGCCTGGGACATATGTGAATGCAGAAGCAGTGAGCACGTTACCCTAATCCACATGAAACAGGCTGATTTGGTTTTACCATCTTCAAAACTCTGGAGGACCCCTGTCAGGTACCGTTTTCCTCCCCATGTAGATGTCTGCTTTTTGCCCTGTTGGGTGTCACCTGGAGCGTTTTGTGTCCTGCTCGTCCCCTGGGTTTCACGGTCAGCACTTTGGCGTATACTCCAAGCCCCCATCCTAAGCTGCTGTGTAGGTCTGTGTAACTGTTACTTGAGGGTTGTCCCTCTGATTTACTGATCTCTTACAGCTCAGTGGAAGGGTAAAAAAATTCCAAGGTGTGAACGTGCTTGCAGCTGCAGGTGTGTAGGTAGCTCACAGTTGAGCTCGTGTAGCCGTTGATCCAACTTTTCCAAAGCACAGTTCTGGGTGTCAGTTATGAACAGATTGGAAGTTAAAAGAGTTTTATACTTCCAGCATGTATTAGCCTCCAGCTGAATTACCCCAAGTGACTGTGTACAGCAAGGAGCTAGAGATTTTTTCCATCTAGAAAGAACTGTAATTCTAGCACAACTGTACATTCACAGACTAATCACAAATACCATGTAAGTGCAACACCTAACACTGAAGGAGCATGTGAATCGTGCTTAAAAGCACCATCATGTTACGTGGGGTTGTTGAAAGGCTTACAGTATTGTTCAGAGGTACTGAATCAGGGTATCCTTGCTGATGGTGGGGTTAGGCTAGAAGCACAAACACAACCAATTCATCAGGCCTATCAGTTGCTGAAGACACGTGTTCCCCGCCACCTGGCTGTTGGCAGCCAGCGTGTTGCCATCCTCTGGTGGCTTTTTGCAGTCGGTGTTTGAAAGAGCAGTGAGATACTCTGCACGCCCACCTTCCCTCTTAAGTAGTCTTTGTGTTAGTAAACCAGCGCTCATCGGGAAAGACACGTAAAGAATGAAGGGGTTTTTTAACGAGTGCCAAATACTTAGAGTGGAAAACCTCATTAAAACCAACGCTGGTTTTTGAGGGAGTCTTTAGGTGAGGAAGTAGAGAAGTTTCTCATAAAGGGCTAACACTAGCCGCTGTTAGCATTAATATCAAATAATCCTCTAAGAGGTAAAGACTGTAAAGTATTTGAATGGTGTAAGGCCATTAGTTGCTGGCACAGCAGAGGAAGTAACGCGCAGAGGAGATGACAGCAGTTCTAATTACTGCAGGTATTACCACCTTCCTAATAGCATCTCTGCTTTGGCTGCATGTGGTGGCTTCCCTGTAAAAAAAATAAAATGTTAAAAACTTAAAATGGCTTTAGCAGCCCGGCAGCAACCGCGGGAATTCCGTCAGGGCAGGATAGATGCGGTTGTGTAAACTTTAATTAGGGGTTGGGAAGCTAAACCACACTGATAAACAAAGTTACATTGGCAGCCTTACCCAACTTCTTGCAGTTCCAGTTCTGGGTATGTTAATGAATCAGAGGGTGAGACTGACCACAGGAGACAGAGGCGTCTGAAGTGTATGTGCTGGAAAGGAACTTTGCCTTCATCGGCTGTTAAACAAATTTGAAATTATGAATTTTCCTTTGCCTGCCATGTCTGTAGGGATTAGTTGTTTCATGATCTTCTGAAATGCCTGGTGCATTGCTATATTTGAGATACTTGCTGGTTTTTAAATGGAATTAGGTTTTGTAAATATTTTGTCCGCCCCGTTTCAGTGGGTGTCCACTTTATATAAAACCTGAAGAAATGCTGTGTCAAAAAAAACCCGTGTTTAGACATGGTTTATCCTGTAGCATCTCGGGCGCTACAGACCAGCAATTACAGTTTAGGAAAGCGGGGAGGGACTGCTGAAGGTTGGGTTTCAGGTTAAAATTGTATGTGCTTTCCTACTTCTAACATTGAAACAGCATTTCCTCCAAATACATTTTCCAGCAACAGCGGTGGGATAATCTGCAGTGCCAAACACTTCCAACTACGTTGCTCAGCATTGCCTCCTCCTATTGCACTAGTTTTACAGTTCAGTTTTTGATCATTTGATGTCCTTTTGATGGCCTTTTTAACAGATTTTCCCCCAAACCATTTTCTACATCTTAAAAATGCTCCTGTCCTTTTGATTACATCACTGAAACCTCAAAGAGATTTACCACAGACTGTGGGTGAAAGCAGCGCTCTGTGGGGTGAGGTAACAAATCAGAATGGGAATTGGACTTTGACATACGGCAGAAATATAAGATTAATATAAGATTGAGATGTGGTTGTGGGTTCCTACGGAGTGATACACTGGAATATTCTTTTATAAGAAATTTTAGCCCACGTAGTATTAAATTCTACAATTAACCCTGTCTATAATTGATACATAATAAATTATAACCCAAAAAATTAAATTTTACAGTTGAAGAGCACACAATCAACTATGTAAAAATATGATCTTCACTTTGTGAATCACTTTTTTAAAAAGCACTTTCCTATTACCAACTAGCATGTGAATGAATTTTAGATTCTCTCATTTGTTATGATCTGTAGAAGTGAAATTTCTTTAATCTGTCTGTTAATGGGTAAATTCATCATACAAATGCTGAAAGAAAGCACCTTATACTATGCTGCTTAAACTTGCTTGTAATTGCACCTTTTGTTATCAGCAGATTTTTCTTAAGGAGTATTCTTTTGTGCTGTCATTGTTCCCTGTGGGTCTGGGTGAATGATTAACCAACCCACAGCATCATTTACTGACATCGTTTCTGTTTCAACACAGCATTGTATTGTGAGTTCAGTGCTTCAGAAATAAACGCTACTTCCATTTGTCCGCTTTGGTTGCGCCTCGTTTATTTCTCTTCTACAAAATCAAGACCTTCATAAAGCTTAGAATTTGAAAATTGAAAGTATTTTTGCTAGAAGCCTGAGTAATTCTTCCCCCCACTGAAGTAGTCCCACTTCAAATTAAACTATTTTAATTTTAAAGTAATTTTGACTTCAAAATATATTTTCATTTAAGCCCTTCTTTAACCTTGGGCATGTATTTATATAGCAACATTTAAGCCCTTCTTTAAACTTGGGCATGTATTTATATAGCAACTAACCTTGCTGCTTATTGCTCTGACTGTACTTATGTACCTCTGTACATATGAAAAATTAAATTAGAGGAGCAGTAGCAAAGAAATAATGAAACATCACCACCTTGGCTGTAGCTGTGGAAGCTGCCCATCTCACACTGCTTTTGTACTATGTAAACAAAATTAAAATTTCTGTTACATTAACCAAAACAATTCATTTCTTGTTAAACAGACAACAACCCTTAAAACTGACAAAAAGTCACAAGTGAAGAATACACGTTAAAAAAAAAAATCACAGAAGCTGTTTGAACTTTTGATGCCTACGTAGCCTCGGACGGTAGGCAACCTGTGTACATAACTGATAAAAGGGCTCTGGCTTTGAAAACAACTTTATTGCGTTTTGTACTCTAAAACCTGAGATCATCCCATTTAAAGCAAATGGGAAATTAGCAATAAATGCAAGGGTCAGCTGAAAACTTGTTTTGTAAGTAGTGGTCTATTCTTAAACCTGTACTTGTGGATTATATCCTCTGAACTGGTAGATGCTTACTGCCCACGGAGCCCAGCGTGGAAGCGGGCTGTGTCCCGCGCTTCCCTGCAATACTCATTACAGTAGACCTTTTTCCACAGGTTGTAGCTCTGGAGATGTTTCCTTGTGTTATCTGTAAGGACATGGTCGCAGAAAATCAGAGAGCAGCCCTGTGTCACACAGCACTGACTGGCAGTCTTTTCAGTCAGCAGCTCGTTAACAGATTACAATTACTGCGCCTGGCTTATCGGCTGGCTCTGTGTTTTCATTGTTAAAGGGCATAAAGCAGAATTTCCAGCTGACAAATGGATCTGTAGCCCACATCTCCTCTGTCAATTCAACGTCGTGACATCGACACCAGTACGCTCCTGCGATGAGAAAGCTGTTGATGAAGTACAGCCATGGGACATTCATCTCCACGTAGGCTGGAATCCGAGCACCGAGAAACAAAAGGATGATTTGAAGAAAAACAAAAGGTGCCCAAGTGCCAAGAAAACAGATGAGGAGCCTGGTCAGGAGCTGCCACTTAAAGCAAGTGCCGTTAGACAGGTACGAGAACATCAGAACAGGCTGACCGTCAAAGCAAACCGCCCTGACAGACAGGAGCATGGTGGTAACTTCCTTCCAACAAGCCAGGAAAGCCACGCTCATGAGCAGCAGCATGGCACACGAGACCGAGTAGCTCTGCACGCTGGCATGGAGCGGGCACTGGTACGGAGAAACACAGTTCTGAACTTCTAATTCCTCGTAGATAGCGGGAACTTTCAGAATACACAAAAACCCTGAAATCCATATAACCACCACAGCAAATACATAAAGTAATCTTTGACCTCTTTTAGGAAACTGAGAGGTTTGGGCTACAGTCACGTAGTAATCCAGAGCAGCCACCAGATACACTGGGTAATGCAAAATACCGTAGGTCAGAGAAATTATCTGAGTGAGGAGGCAAATATAATACCTTGTAAACCGTACGCCCCAGAGTACGAAGTCCTCAAAGTAGAAAATGAAAGATATACTCAGCAGCAGCATAAAATCGACAAGTACCAGCGAAACGCAAAAGTATCCCATAAAACTAACTTTCACCTTTTTTTGCTTAATTTGCAACATGAAGAAATCAAGGAATGCTTTTCCCAGCATAACCAGGAGCAACATGCAGCTGACTCCAAGAGGCTGGTGGACCTGGGTGGAGTGGTACTGACCAGAGCAATTTTCACTGAGTATAGCAGCCATCCTCCAGTGGGAAGAACCAGCGGAAGTATCATGGGGCACAGGGCTTCATATCTGAAAAGAAAAAACCAAAAAGTTTGTAAAACTTTATTTCCAGGTTCCTTTACCAAATAGTTAATTCTCCACCACAACAGCTACCAAATTTACATCTAATTCTTCCAGACCACTTAATTAAGAGTAAATAGCTTAAGTAACACATCATTGTCAAGAGGCGCCTAAATTTTGTCTTCAAGTTACATTCTCTTGAGAGTAGAAAGGTAAACATGGAGCCAAGTTACTTTTCCAGCTACTTTCCTAAGGAAAAAGTTGAGGAAATAAGGTTGATTCTGTTCCTTTCCTTTAGAAAGCACAGGGGCTTTCTGTCCAGCTGGGCAGCGGGATGGACATTTCAGAGCTCCTACAGATTTTGAAGAAACTGATTAACCACACAGGACAGAAATCGTACAACACACAGGAGGTGTTGCAGTACGGCCTCACAGTTCATTATGCTCACAGAATCCCTACAGAACTGAGGCTGCAGAAATGCCTGGAAAGCAGAAAAAGCATCAGGCCTTTTTAACTCATCCTTTTTAGGCGGTAAACTCCTGGAAGCCTGCGTCAATCCAAAGCACATGTGCTTCATCACTGGGCTTTTTTGTTCATCCCTTAGCAATGTAAGTGCTACAAGGACAGACACCTCGGAACACCTGATTTCTTCCTGGACTTCAACAAGTTTCCTTATGCTCTTTTTTTACCTGCATTAATTCCTAAGGAAAATGAACGCAGGATGGCTTCGTGTATGCCAGCAAGACACATCAGAAAAAGCTATGCATACTTTCTTCTCTCTTTTCCTGGAGAAGAAAGACGATGTCAGCATTCTCAGTGACACAGAAAAGCTGAGCAGCCAAGGCAGCTGTAACCAGGAATTGCCTCTTTTATTAAGAGAGACACCTACGTTTCACCAGAGTTCGTGAACATTTGACTCAGTGTCTCCTGAAAAGCAGAATGAGAGGAACAACCAGGAGATGTATCCACTAGCTCCCACTGAACTCGGCTGCAAGCCTACCTGGCTGCCGCACGACCACATTTCAGCACCAGACACGTTTTACAGCACAACTGAAAACCGCCTCCCGCCTGACACCGCATGCTGCACTTGTCTGCGCAGGGGGAAACCTGCAGGCCAAGCGGGGTCGTGCTGTGTAAGCGATCGCTGAAATCCCTTCGTATCACAACGCAGGGTCACCTGTGCGCAGGTCGGGCCTGCCCTCTGCCGTGCGAGGGCCTGGGCACAGCAGCAGAGACGTTCTTACCGGCGCCTTCGCCTCCCTCGGCCCCGAGGG